TATCCATTGCTCTGTTAACTCTATTAAATTGATTTCCTTTTTTTTTTTAATTCATAAAATACATTTTTATTTTTTAATTAAAAAATTTGTAGGTACCATTAGCTGTAAGTACCATTAGACATATTATGTTTGTCGCGTTAAATGCGCTAAAAAACAGTTTGCGCCCATTTTACTACCATCGACTTACTTGTGCTAACTACATTTTAAATAAAACTTTATTTTCGTTTTTTTTTTTTTTTTTTATTGCAAAAATTTATATTTGAAATAATATTTATTTATTTTATGATATTTCCAATCTGTTTTATTCTGAATTGCTATACGATATAAAGTGTATACTTAAAATGATAATGATAAAAAAGTAGTAAATTTTTTTATGAAATATTTCAGAAAAATTTATTTATTATATTTCTAACTTGATAACTTCCCAACTATACTAATTTAAAAAAAAAAAGAAAAAAATTTGTGCTAAAATTTGCTGCAAATTCTTACTTTGTCTGTTTTTTGAATTTTTTATTTCTTTTTTAAGTTTTTTTTTTTAAAAAAAAAAAGTTGATTATTTGAATAATATTTCAAGTTTAATCCGATTTAATAAAAGTTTGAGGATAATAAAAAGAAAAAAAAAAGGGAATAAATTTTGAATTTCTCTGTATTCGAGTTTTTTTTTTTCTATTTAATAATATTTAAATATGTATATATTCAGCGCTCTCCATATACCTTTGTTTAAAAAGTAAAAAATTAAAAAAAAAATTATTCGAAAAAAAAATAAACACTAAGCATTAAATGAAAATTTTTATCGATCAATTTTAATCAGTGATAATTTATGATCAATAGTATCATCTAATCAGTACTAGTTTAATTCAATCAATAATATTCAAACTAATTCATATCAAAATGTCTATTTTATCTGATCTAAGTATTACCTAATCAACATTACAATCCATTTAGTATGCATCACACTAATCAGTGCTGTTATCTTTCTTATCAGTGTTATAATATAGTGCAATCAGTGTGGGAAATATTTGTAATTTCATTTTGTTGAGAAGATATCTGATAATGGGAACGAAGATATACTGTATGATACGGGGGGGAGGGATAGGGGGGGAATACGAGTCTCAGATATTTGTGGAAGATATTTATCACTCATTAAAATTGTTTAAATAGTTTTATTTTATATGTTTAAATTGAAAAAAAAAAGAAATTAGTGGAAAATAAAATTGATTATAATAAAATTAAATTTGGAATTATTAATTTATTTCTGGTAGCAAATGGTATACTACTAATTGACCTAAGTAATAAATAAATGAATAATAAGTGATAGGTAAATTAATTAATCATTTCAATTTGTTTTTAATATTTAATTGCAACAAAGCAATGTTGGTCACATTTTTGCTAATTAAATTAATTGCAATTTCTGCAAATAATTAATGGAACTATTAAAAATTCCATAAATAATCAAATAGATAATTTTTTTTTTTTTAAACTATTGAAAAGAAAAGAAAACAATCGATTGAGAAAAAAAGTTGTATAAATGTTTGATAAAAAAAAAAAAAAGGAAGAATTTGGAATAATATTTTGTTTAAATGTTGAAGTTTAGCTAATTTTTTTTTTTTCACTTTTAGTAAATTCAAAACTAAAATAAATTGCTCAATTTTCTTTATTTGTTTATTTGTCCAATTATTTATTTCATTTATTTACTCATTTATAATGCCAATGACATAATCAGTAGAATAAAACTCCATTAGAATATGTAAATTAGCTAATTACAATTTCATAGATTGCTTATTTGTTTATACTTCAACCGATTATCTGATCTAAGTGTATTACCTAATTAAAGTATAATCAAAGGATGAGAAATAAGATGAAATCAAAGAGCTAATATCATATTTATCATTTTGTAAATTTTAATCTTAATTTATAACTTTTGCAAAAAATAAAAGTTTTACTTTTATGATTCTTCATTTTCTTTTTTCTTCAGCGATGATGGCTTTCATTGGCAAGCATTAGCAATTCCCGACAAACTTATCGCAACAAGGTTAGTAAAAAAAAAGAAAAATTTTAAAAAAAAATTTTGTAATTTTTGAAATTATAGATTGAAATACTACTATACTATTAATTTCTGAAATTTATAAAATGAAATATTGTTAATTTAATGTGTGAAATTAATACATAACAAATTAATTAAATTAATACATTAATTAAATTAACCAAATTATATTATCACCAAACTCATATTTAACAATAATCTCTCTTCAATCTTTTTTTAACATAATATAGTATGTTTATTTGTTGGTGCAAAAATTTCTAATAATATTTTTAATATTGAGAAAAAAAAAATGAGAAAAATTTGTTAAATAAAAAATTTTTAGTCATCAAAAAAAAAAAAAAACGCAAATCTAAGTTATATTCAAACAGTAAAAAAAAAAGGAAAAGATTTGAAGTTTTTGTATAAAAGTAATACTTACTGTTCTTTAGGTATACATAACTTAAAAGTTATGTGCAAATATCACATACCATAAAATATTTTATTTCAAATTTTGTTCAATTTTTTTTTTTTGTGCAAATTATAGAATAAAAATTAAACGTTAAAAAGCGGCGTACGTCATTTTTTATTAGTCATAAAGAACAAAAAAAAAAAGTGCAAATAAATTTATCAAACGTTTTATGCATTATGGAAATTTAGTATGCATCAAATGATGAAAGAATGAATGAATCATTTCATTAATTTAAAAAATTTTTGAAATTAATACATACAAATTTCTTCCATTAAAAAAGTTATAATTTTACATTATTAAAATGAAATAAGCAAAAGTCTAAAAAATTTTCATTCAATTTTCAGAAAATAAATTTTAACAAAATTTTCTCATTTTTTTTTTTTTCTTAGCTATTAAAAGTATTAAATTAGAAATGAACAAAATTCATGTAAATTTATTTTTATCACAGTTATAGCATTCATAGCAATAACATTTTTCTAAACGAATTATTAATTTTTATTAAATTAAAATTTCAATTTCATTCTTAATTTTTTTCATTAAATATCACTTTATTAGCCTTATTCAATTATTTTTAATTTCTTTTTTTTCCCTCTATCACATTTTTTTTCTTGGAAAAAACTTCAATCAAATTCTAATTTAAACAAATTTTTATTTCAGTTCAGTAAATTATTGAAAAATAACTTTCTACTTTCATTCATATATTTTTCAATTCTTTTTTATTGAAATTTTAATCAATTATTGAATAAATTTTTCCACTAAAATAAAAAATAAAAAATAAAATAAAATATATAAAAAAATATGTAAATAAAATTTTGGTATTATTGAGCTATAGAAAATAAATTTGATATTCAAAAATGCTTGGCAAAAAAAAAAAAAAAATTACATAAAAGCAAATTGCAGATGGTAATTGTAAAAGAGCTGAAAAAAAAAAAGAAAGAGAAAAAGAAACAAGGGTAAAATGATTAAAGCAATATACCCGCGGGAAAATAAAAAAAGGAAAAAGAAACAAAGAAGAGAAAAAAAAATGTTTAAGCAATATACCCGCGGGAAAAAAAAAAAACATTTTGTGAATAGTAAATAAAGTGATCGATAAACAAAAAAAAACCTACGAACATTGCTAATGCTTATATGAAAGATTTGTATAGTTTTGAGATAAACAACAAAAACAAAAAAAAAAAAAACAAAAACAAAAATTTGAAATTAATTAAAATGCGAAGGAATATTTGATGAAATAAAAATGAAACAAAGAGACAAAATAAGCAATTATTTTGTTATTAATTGTATTATTGTTTTGGTATTTTAATAATTATTTTACAATTATAAGCGAATAGTTTAGAGTTTGTAAAATGAATTAAATTTTGGTAATTTTTTTATAATTTTCATTTTAGGACATTTTAGGATTTTTTTTATATAAAAAAAATTAACACTAGTTTAGAGGTTGTAAAATGAATCAAATTTTGGTAATTTTTTTAAATTTTTATTTTAGGACATTTTAGGATTTTTTCTTTTATACAAAAAATTAACAGAAATTGTTAGTACGTATCATTATGATAAAAATTGTTAAATAAATTTTAATTTTTTTAATGTAAAATTCATATTTTCACTTCAAATTTAAATAATATTCATTGTGATATTAGCATTAATATGATATTTTTATCAAAAAATGTTTACAATATTAATAAAAAAAAAAAAATAATAAGATAATTCATCTAAATTATTTTAAATTTTAGGTTGACAAATTAAATTGAATCTTTACTGATTGTATTAAATAGTTTCATTTTTTTCTTTAAAAATTTTACATTTAAATTTTAAATTTAATTTATATATACTATTTACTAATCGTTAAAATGATATATTATTCATTTGTATTTTGAATAATTATTCAACTAAAATTTTATTCATCATTTCAATTATTTATATCTTTTTGCTTCTTCTCTTTTTCTTTTTTATAAATCTTTTAAAAATTTTAGAAATTTATTTTTCAGAAAAACCACAACAACAACAAACTTATCACAATCGATGAATTCATCAAAATATAAGAATAGCAAATCATTGGAAGTATTATTGAGTAATTTATCGCTTTCAGCATCACTACACATAACAAATTTAACAACAACTTTAGCAACTGATACAATGATATCAACTGATAAAATTGCTATCACTAAAACAATTCCACAAACGACTAGTACAGATGAAAAATTTATTAATGGAATTTTTATTACTGAAATTCGTATCAGTGATAAAAAAGATAAAATAGTATCTGTTACTGATACAATTCCTCATACTAAAGTAACATCTAAAACTATTCCTATTAATATGATTGATACTACGATAACAATATCAACTGATAATCATTCTACATTTTATGAAACTAATTCACTGATAACATCTATTTTTAATTCACACTTACAATCTGCTCTATTTGATGATAAAAAATTATCAAATTCAAAATCAGTAACTAATTCACTATTAAAACCTATTATTTCTTCTTCTCCTACTACAAATGCTATGATAATTTCATCCTCACAAAATGCTAATATTGCTGCTGGAGCTCAAATTGCTGAAACAAATTTTACAAAATCATATTTGCATACTGAACGTAAAATTTATCAACAACAATGGAAAGAAGATGAATTAAAAGTTAAATCAAACTATAATCGATTGAAAGCAAATAGTACTATTAGTCCAATTATTACTTATAGCCAATCAGCGCCAAAAACACAATTAGATCAATGGGAATGGGGAAGAAAACAACAACAACAACAACAACAACAACAACAACAACAACAACAACAACAACAACAAGCAGTTAATCACGAATGGATCAACAATAAAAATAATAACAATGGTGATAGTGATAATCATAATAATAATAACCATAATATTTTTAATAATAGCCACAGAATATCATCATCATCATCATCATCATCATCATCATCATCATCATCATCATCATCATCATCATCATCATCATCATCATCATCATCATCATCATCATCATCATCATCATCATATCAACATTACTGTTATCATCATCATCTATTTTTTCCACTTTACCATTTTCATTATTTTCATTTCGATTCCTACTATCTTTATGACATCTTATTAAATATTTTTTCCTTTTTATGCATTTCTTTTAAGTGAAATTAAAAAAATTTTTTTTTTCTTCAGATATTGTTTCATTAGTACTATTGTTGTATATTATATGTATTTATAATTATCATGTAAACATCATATATTCATTATTTTATTACAAGTAAATTGTAATCAAGATTTTTTTTTTTAAATTAAAAAAAAATGGCAATTAACGAAATATTAAATTAGTTAAAAAAAACTGAATCTAATTTAAAATTTGCACATCAATTGTAATATCGAATAATTTCACATTTTTTTTTTTTTTTAAATATACAAATCGGATGACTTGATTTGAGTGTAATATCAAATTGTAATTTTAAAATTGTAATTTTTGAAATCATTGAATTTTTAAAATCATTTCTATCCAAAATTGGTAACTCTAAGAAAATGGAAATTATTTTAATCATAATTGATATCACATCAAATCAATGTAAAATCACATTTTTTTTCTTGCAATCTAATCTTTATTAATTCAAATATAATTGAAATTTATTGAAGTAATTTTTGCATTAAAGATTACAAAATTTGCTTATAATTTGAAGAAGCAATCATTTAATAAATTGCCATTCGTTAGTTAGTTACTTATAAAATTATATTTGATCACAAATTATTGTAAACAAAAATAACACACACACACACACACACACACACACACACACACACACACACACACACACACACACACACACACACACACACACACACACACACACACACACACACACACACACACACACACACACACACACACACACACACACACACACACACACACACACACACACACACACACACACACACACACACACACACACACACACACACACACACACACACACACACACACACACACACACACACACACACACACACACACACACACACACACACACACACACACACACACACACACACACACACAATTAGGGAAAACAGAAAATGCTTACACTACGGGGAAATAATTCAACCTTAAATTTCGCTTCTAAAATGATTTCATTATTAATTCAAAGTCTAATGCAATGCATATTATCATTAAGTCTATGACACTAAAATAAGCAAAATTTATGTGATATCGAATTTACAATATAGTTTATTGAACCGATTACTTTTTACGTAAGTGATCTATTTACGTATCTGTAACACACTTCCGTATCTACCAAACTTGAAATGAATTATTCATTTACAAGTACACAGCCAATTCTAATTCATATATAATTAAAATTTTTTAATTTCGTGATTTAATTTTCAGCTTAGAATAAGCTATCACCTGAAGATTGAAGACAGGCTTTGTTTTAGAGATAGTACATAAAATTCTATTCAAGCATAAAATTAAACAATTCATTCATTCAAGCAATATTTCATGGCGAAATTTTTAAAATTCATAAATAAAACAGCTTCCTCAGTTTTAGAAGAATTTTCATCAAACAACTTTTTGCATTAGCTTTGAATCCGGTTGAACATAAGAACTTCATACCTGTCACAGATGTCACAAACGAATATCATATGAACACAGGTAATTCAAATATGTCTTGTGAAAAAAAAAAAAAAATGCAAACGTTTTCTTTCCATATTTACAATAATTAATAACTTACTTCTAACGTAAGCACATAGCACTATTAAAATTTCAGTAAATTAGAAAAAGAAAGGAACCGATTGCGTATCACAATAAGAAATCAAAATTCTACAATGAAATTTTATAAATCTAAACAAAAACCATCCATTTCCAATGCGATTTATCTTCTTCGTGAAACATTTAACAAGGAAAAAGCGATATGAGCTATAAATTCCTATGCAACAATGGATGAATTTTTTGAATCTGGCACGAAATTATCATAAAAATTGCGCGTTGCTTGTGTCATCAATTCTTGTGTTGATTCCGGTAAATGTCCAATAACAGTACCTAAAAGTGAGTTTAATCTGGAATATATCTATTATATATGCATAAGAAATGAAAAAGAAATGAAATTATTTCATTTTATTGCAAAATTTTTTCATACATTATTATTTAGATCTTGAAAAAAAAAAATCAAATTAAATTCCCATTAAAAAGCTCCTTCGTTGTTCAATTACAAAAAATAAATAAATAAATAGTTAAATGACAGAATGACAAAAACACACCTGGATTACCTCCTACAATAGAAAAAGGTGGAATAACAGCATCATGTGGCACTACTGTATTTGGCAATACTTGTACACAACTTTTAATTATTACACTACGACCAATTATAACATTATTGCCAATATGCACAAATGCTCCAATCTCTGCAGCCATTACTATACAGTCCTCAAAAATAATAAATAAATCGAAAAGAATCAAAAATTATAATCAACCACAGATAAATGGAATTTATCGAAATTTTTAATCTAACATATATTAGTTAATTTATAATTTTGTACACATTTGTATGAACCTCACTCCCAAAAAAAAAAAAAAAAAGAAAGAGGAATAAGAGAAATATTAGTATAAAACTTACATTTCCAATAAATACATGATCACCAATATGTACAGGAAAGAATGTCAATCCTTTACTGAAACGTTTATAAGACGGTCGAATGATAGTACGTTCACCAACAACACAGTATCTACCTGTTCGAATATTATGCATATCACCACGTAAGATACAATCTTTCATCAATGTTGACTAAAATGTAGCAAAGAAAAATGATGAACAAATAATTAACATTAACAAATTTAAAATTAACAAATTATAATGTAAAATTCTCGAAAAATTAAAAGAGCAATGAGCTTATCACCATTTTTTTAATAAATTAAAATATTAGCTATCATACTCATCAGACAATAATCATTAAAGTATCAACTATCACAATATTCCTAATGCATTCTAATCAAATTTAAGTTAAAAATGATATGATAACATATAGACAACATTAACTTACTTTTCCATTCAATACAATATTTTGACTACCAAATAATCTTGATTTCCGATTTACTTTGTTACCCGTAGCTGTCTCCACATATTCAGATTTATCATAATAAACCATTTGAAGATCCATTTAGAGACCCAATCAGTTTTCCGAATAGTGATAAAACGAAAGCACTTTCTTTAGAGAATTATAAACTAAATTAATTAAAAAAAAAATGAAATCAATCAATTTGCTATAATTAAAATTAAAACCAAAAGGTTTAATTAAATAACGAAAATGAGCAAAACGACATCAGAATTATAGTAAAAGTTATGCCCAGTGAAGTTAAAAAGCCTGCATATTCAGCTTCTATCCTAACGAAATTAAGCAAATCAAAATATTTTCGAAACAATAATTTATCCAAAAAGAAAAAAAAGCAAAAAGCTTTCTAAACTCCTAAAAAAGCAAAGTTAGAAGAACAATAAAACAGATTTAATAGGATTTTAACAACTCATAGAGACTTGAATTTCATTAAAATAATAATAATACTAATAATAACTCCAAACACTATACAGCTTATGATTGTTAACTGACAAGATAATGTCATGTTAGAAAAACAAGCTCAGACACTTTCTGTACTATGCGATCACTGTTAACAACGGATGCTTTGCCTTCTTCTTTAAATCAAGCAAATTAATTAATTAAAAACCTGGCCAGCATTTTTTCTTTTAATTCAAAAATAAGCTTCCAAACATAAACAAATACGGAACTTCCTGCAAAACGATGCATATGAAAAATTTTTGAAAACAGTATTTATTTCAATAATTTCAAACATAACAAAAATGAAAATGAATTTTTTTTTTTTTTTACTAGCACACATAAAATTTGAGCCATTCATTTACATAGTATGATCGAAAAATTTTTTTAACAAATACATTTTAAAGTATGGCCAGAAAAGAAATAGCAAGAAACAAACAATTTTTAAAACAAAATATTCTGAACTCATTTTTAATATGTGAAATAGCTCGTAATCAATTAGTGTAACCCGCTGCTATAGCTGTACAACTAATTTAATCAATAGCTAACTACTATGACAATTCGGATATTTACTGCCATGTTTAATCAACCAAAATGACACATTATCTTATTTCCTTCATCTCAAAAAAACTTCACAATGTTAGTTGTCAAATCATTTCGTCTAGCCAATGCGTATTAATAATATTTCAGCTAAATAAATTTAAAATCAAACTGAAGTCTTTAACCATATATATATCGCATTTACAACTCTAGCACCATCTGTTATCTTATATTTGAAATTAATAATTACCAAAAATATTAGGATATATAATTTATGTAGCGCATTTGTGCAAACGACAAACCCGATTAAACGTCTGGGATGGTTAGTCATCCCTTTGTATAACAATTAGTTGAAAATATCGATGAGATAGAAAAAGTTAATGCTTATGTTTAAAAAAATCTTAGTTCAAAAAACAATAAATTAATCTACTTTTTTGACAAAAACAAAAAATAATAAACTGAAACATGAAAAATTAAGAAATTTTAGCACTATATGATATAACAGTATTAATAATAGTGATAAAAATAATGATGAAATGGCTGCTGTCATTTCAAAAAGAAAATTCGAAAACTTTCTTAGTCCTTCAGCTAATTTTGGAAGAATTCGAATGGTAGAAAACTGAACTTTCTCTCTCTACTCCGATGGAGAAAACTGAAACTATTTGACCTAGCACATTACTAATATAGAACAATTATCCAAATCCTTCCAACTCATATCAATATTCACGAATGAATTCAACAGACAAAAAATTTCTAAAAAAATGATGTCATGGAAGTGTTCAAATAATGTATGGTATCAAAACATTAAAAAGGAAATGATGTATAAAAACAGCAAATATGAAATTTTCAGTATGAATTTAATTAGAATGAAAGCAAAAATCAAGGTGCTTTTTCGGAGTAAGACATGGTTCAAAACAATTCTTAATAAATATAAAAAAAAAAATGTAAAGACAGTGACAATGATCGGATCGGGTAAATGTGCTAAAAATAATAATAAACCCGGATAAATCATATAATCACA